AGTAGTAATAGATATGATACCAACTGCAACAGACTCATCCTTTGCAATACTCTCTGGTTACCAACTTGAACTCTCGGGCTGATGGGCTCCTAGTAAGTAATTGAGGCTTGCACTAATGAAGTTGTACCAGGAACACTTCGTTTATTCATTATGCACCACAAAGTAGACGAGACTCAAACTTTGAACATGAAAATGTATTATGTGATAAATGTGTACATCGCTGCCAATCGTACCGATGCCACAGTATTACCCTTGACATAAGCCAACAAATGAGAGTACGTCATTGCTAGACGTTCTGGTTCCGATTCTGGTTCCGCGGAACCTCGTCTCCTCCTTCTTTTTAGATGTTTTCTATAATATCTCACTTTCAGAACAAGACATTGCTTTCTCCTTTCCAGCCTTCTAATATCAGACCACCGGGGATCTTCCCATCCTCCCTCCATAAGTCGTAAGTGATAGAGTACATGATGTTACATGAATTGTGGCGAGATTTAAATCAGGTCGGGCGCAGAGCAAAGGAAGGGTTATTAGTGACCTGGAATTGTTGCTGGGCGAGACGGAGGCCTAGGGCACTCTACAGCTCTTCCTTGACGGTGGCATCCTGCTGGTTCTCACTGGCAGGCTTAGCCTTGGCCTCTTCGGCCTCCTTCTCACCGTCCTTGCTGGCAGCCACATCTTGAGGAGCGGCGGCACTTTCATCCTTGCCCTTAACGGTCTCGCTGTTGACACCCTCAACATCGGGGTGAGGAGGAGCAACACCAGCCAGATTTTGGTCCCAGCCCTCAGCAGGCTCTTGGACTTCGTTGCCCTGTTCATCAACGACGCGTGTCTTGGTTTCGTACTTGGTCTTGAACTCAACCTTGCCCTCAAGAGCTTTGACCTCCTCAGGGTCAAGAAGATTGCCATCCTGGTCACGGTACTCAACCTTCTCCTCCTTAGCAACGACTCGGTGCTCAACCTGGGCCTGATCAGGAGCAGGGGGGGCTCCAGAGATGACAGCCTCTTCCTGCTTCTGGGAGACAGGGGCCTCTTCCTGCTTGGGCTCAACGTTTTTGGCTGCTGAGGTGGTGGGGACTACAGATGAGCTGATGGAGGGGACCTCGCTGTACTTGTCATACTGTGTGAATGATGTCAGTCAGGGCTCATATCTTGTCAACGTTCGCGATGAAACTCACGCTATCGTAAAAGGTGTTGCAGTCAAAGTCCCAGGTGTTGAAAAGCTTCATGCGCCTGCAGTCGGCCTTGGTCCAAGGGCTTCCGTAGGCGAGGGGAGAGTAGAGCATGAAGACGGCAGCCGATAGGACAAGGAATGAGACAGTAGCAATACGGTTGATCAAAGCGGTATCACGAGCTCCAGCTCCGGGGATGCGGGCAGTGGCATAGTCAAAGAGTTGGCACAAAGCAATGACCGCAAAGTAGAGAGCAGGGAAATAGTGATGAAGGAAAAGTTGACGCTGCATCAGGTAGAAGGGGAAGTAGTGCAGAGCCCAGCCGAGAACTGAAGTACCAATCTCGTAGTCGAATCGTTTGAAGGTGGTGTTGGAGTAGTCATTGCAGCTGCGCTGCCAGCGGAGAACCGCAATGGCTTTGAAGACGACCCAGATGGCAACAGCAACGCTGGAAGACCACCAAATGATGGGGTTTCCGAGGAGATAAACCTGCTTATGCTGACGACCCCAGAAGTTGATACCACGACGGAGAATGGGCCACGACTCAGGGCGAGAATCCCAAGCGTGAGAGTCAGTGAGACCGGCGTTTGTTCGCCACATGACCTTCTGAAGCTCCCAGAACTTGCCAAAGAAACCAGGATTGCGGTAGTTGACCTTCTCAACATCGCCCTGCAATTGAGGGTGAGAGTTGCCCTCGATATACCACAGACTGTTGGGAAGAGTTCCGCCTCGGGCGCAAGTAACCTCCTGTTGCTCAGATGCCCAGTCAGGGAGCTTGACCTTGTGGGAGAACAGAACACAGCCAGTCATGACGTGAACAAGACGGAACTTGGATTCGATAGTACGAAGACGTTCCTTTGCAACAGATCCATACGTCTTCTTCTTCACAATCTCGACACGGAAGAAATCGTTGGCATCTCCCTCAAATCCTTCGTAACCGTAGGCAGAAACTTCATTTTGCCAGTCGGCCTCAGTGATAGGTGGGCGAACGTCATGAGAGTGAAGGCGGCGATGAGTGGGACCATGGTAAAGACGAAGGACGGTACCGTCGGTGATGTACTGGGGCTCAGGAAGGGCGTCCCAGGCCTGTGTGCCATTGATGGGCTGGCCATCAATTCCAAGAGGCTGAGTCTGGTTCTCAAGGAGCCACACGTTGTTGTCGTCCTTGTGAGGGTACAGGGTGATCTGCTGCTGCTTGCTACCGGTAGGGTACATGAGAGGATGAGAGTGGAGGTAACCACCCTGAGTGTTGACATGACGGATGGTGACACGGCTGCCCATGATAACATCGGCGGGGACATCCTTCATACGCTTGTTGTTGAGAGTGGCCTGGAACTCGGAGCTCATGAAGCCATCACCGTCGCCAGGGTTCTTGAGGCAGACGAAATGGATGGCGAACATGGCCATGTAGAAGGTGAGAGGAATGATGATTAGACAGAAGACACGTGCCATAAAGTGCTTAGTGAAGAGACGCTGTTGGTCCGTTAGTAACAGTGTTCATAGACGCATGTTGATCAAGTACTTACCATGGACACGTTCTTGTTGTCACCGAGAAGGACCCAGAGTTGAAGAAGAGTGAGGGATCCAACCCAAGCAATGGTGAAGAGTCCAACCCACTTGATGCTGACGGTGATACCCAGGCCAAGACCAGTAAGAACAAGCCAGAACCACCAGCTCAGTTGGAAAGCCTTGGAAGGGCCAAGCTCGTGCTGGTTGGTGAAGCAAGAGAAGGAGAGGACGGTGAAAGCGGTCGCAGCGACAAGAGGCGAATCGAGAAGGATGAGACGAGCCTGGGTAAGAAGACCATTTTCTACAGATAATTAGCAACAGACTCTCCGGGTCAATTGAAGGGCCAGGAGAGATACGTACCGAAGATGATCAGGCCAGCTCCCATGGTAGCGGTCATTGTGCGGCAACCAACAGCCTTGAGAGTAAAGAACATGCAGGGAACCAAGAGAATACCGCAGATAGCAGGGAACATTCGCATCGCGACATAGGGGACACCAGGTTCAATGTAGTCCTTTCCAATCTCCTTAAAGTCGAAGCTTCCATCAAATCCAGCAAGCCATCCGGTAAGGGCAATGAGCATCTTAGCCAGGGGAGGGTGAACGTCCATGAAGAACTTGCCCTTGATGTACTTTGTAGCAAAGCCACCGAAGCTTGATGTATGAGTTAGCGCATTGATGGAATAGACGGGGCGGAAGCAGCAATAGTGCTTCAGCTGGCTTGGGGGACGCACTGAACCTCGTCAAAGACAACGCTTGTGGGCTGATAGATCTTGTACACGCGAACGAGGGTAGCAACGAGGATGAGGGCCAAGGCTACCCAGTAGTCGGAGAGAGGGAGGAGGAAGACATCGTTGTCCTCAACGCCATCGGACTGGTACGAAGTGTTCTTGGTGTCCTTGGACGTGGTGGTGACAGCAGTGGTCTGCGGCTGAGGAGGAGGAGGAGGAGGAGGAGGAGCTGCAAAAGGTTGCTGCTTCTCAGTCACAGGCGTCGGGGCCTTGACTGGCGGTTGGGGACTCTTGCCCCTCGTACGAGCCATGGTAATCGAGTATCAATATAGAATTCGAGTCGATTCGATCGCTAGGGGACGATGTGTCCAGATTGTTCGATCGATGTAACGAGAGTTGATGAAGAAGAGCTATAACAGAGACCGGGAGGATCTAGAGAAGCCTCATCGATGGCCGGTTCTTGGCTAAACAGAAAGTGAACAAGAATAGAAAATGGAAGAGAAAAAAGGACCCAAAACCCAATCGCAGACCGCCGTTATGATACGGATATCAACGGACGATAGGCAATGTAAAAAAAAGCCTGGGGGGGGGAGAAGAATGGATGTTGGACGACAGTTTGCAAGGAGTAAGAAAATAAAAAGGGAAGTGGGCAAAAGAGGGATGATGAAGCTTCAGGGGATATTTAGCACCACCTCAGCTAGCAATGACCTTATGCGGGCTGAGACTGCACCTATAAATGGCGATAGGTGAATTGATGGATGGTTGCAGTACGATACGAGCAGTCGCGTCGAGCGTCGTACCCGTTTCTTTCCAGTTCAGGTCAGGTTCCTCGAGAGAAAAAAGTTGTAGCTACAGTGGCCTCTTCGGTTCGTTCCTGTCTGTCTCTGAACCTCCCGTCTAACAGTAACGGGACATGTCAGCGTCAGCCCAGTGGATGCTCTCCCTAACATCCCTTTACCCCTGCAGCGAATCAAACCCGGCCCCGGCCGCGAAGATCCCCTGGCGTCCCCGTAACGCTAGGCTCAGAACAGAGCTCCAGCAGGCGCCATTAGACCTGTGAATATCAACCACTGGTGATAGCTCTCTGAGGACAGCTCAATTGGTTCCAGCTCCCGCAAACGTGTTTGGGCGTTCGAGATTGACAATGGCTTGTTATGAGGCTTCTATGAGTGAATCACAACTGCATTGTTCCTTCTCCAGCCTCGATACCTTATCATTACAAGCAAAGTGACTCGAGATACGTATCTGATAGATAGATGTGGCTACTGCAGCCACACAGGGGCCGGCTCCCTCGAATGTGGCTCCAGCTCCAAACAAATAGAAACGACACCAAACATTCAGGTACATACACGGACAACTTAACCCCTTTTCTGCCCTTGATCTCCAAATTGCTACGCACTACTTGAAACACGCATTCTAGACCATGAAACTTTTCCTTCTACCTTATCGTGTCGTGTTTATTACCACAGAAATACCTTAGCCAACCCAACCAACCAACCAAAGACCTTTGATATAGGGTATCTCAACCCCAACATATACGTACATATACCTTACTCATGATAACATCATCGACTTTTGGTCAACCCCAGACAAGACTATAAATCCTGTCGACCCCGAGATTGCAAATAATCTACCCATTGTCGAAAACCAGCAATCCAGTGCGGAACGCCTTCTGGTTTTGCCAACTCATTCAGTGACGCCCTGCGAGGAGACTCACGCGTCAACCAATTGTGACCTTGGGCATCCAACACATCAGCCATTGACGCCGAAATAATAGTCTGTACCTGTCCATCCACCAAGGAAAACTCCTGAAGTGCCTGCATCGCCTCGCTCCATCGAGATAATGCGACTTCAAAATCCGATCTGATGTGCGACAGCTTTGCCAAGATGACGTATACTCGCAGTCTTTCATACTTCAGAAGACTAGCCCGAGACTCGATGTCGACGCATATCTTTTCTGCCTCTTCGTAGCGTTCCTGGGCGAAAAGAGCCTCTGACAAAGCCAATTCAAGAAGTGATTTGCCAGTCAAAGGGTCGGGCCTCTCGGTACGCCGTATGATCTCAGTACGAAGATATCCTTCACCTATCATAGGCTCGTCAAGTTCTCTCAAAGCATCGGCTAAATCGCATGTCAGATCCCGGAGATCCTCATCAAAGACGAGCTGACTCGGTTTCTGCGACACTTCGTGTGCTATCTCTAGCAACTTTAGAGATTCATCGAAATTGCCCTGTAGTCGCTTGACTCTTCCCAACAGTGAGTGTTTGCGGAAACTGAGGATCTCTTCCAGAGGCGAAGGCTCATCGCCGAGCGGGTTCCAATCCTCCAATAGCTTCTGCGCAGTCGACAGATCCGCCACTTGGATTGAGTTTAGGGAACGTTGGATAATAGCGACCCCAACCTCACAGCTTATGCGCTTATTTACAGCGGCCGCCGGGTCGTTAACTACGAAGTCCTGAAGACTTCCTGTCGCTTCATCCATGTTTCCACTGAGGCGTCCCAGGACTGCTTTGGTTTGGCCAATGCAGAGCCGGAGGTGTGTATCCTTCAAGCGTCCAGCAGCCAATTCTGCCTGACCAATTGCGAAATACTTCCATGCCATGTCTGGAAACCGGAAAGCTTCGATGAGCGTGAGCATGAAATCGGTTCTGGTGGCTGTAGGCAACTCATCAAAGCAGTCGTGGAACGCCTCAGCAACATGATGTAGATGTGGTAAGAATGATCTAACCACGGGTTCTCTTGTGTGGTGTTAGCGGTTCAAGCTCGCTGGATATTGATTTCAGACTCACGGGAACTCGATATACTTCCAGGGTATGGCTCGATATGCCACAATCAAAGCCTGTTCTCGCCAGAACGGGAGCGCATCTGGAGCAAGGCTTCGGTGGACTCTGGCTGACATATCTTCGTTCAAATGATACGTCTCATCTGGGTATCTGAGAACAGCTGCCAATTGACATAGTTCACGAAAGGCTCGTGTAAGTCGTTGGTCATCTGCTAGTATGTCGATCAACCACGAGGCCAGGCCAACTTTGGTCGCATCAACAAGTTCAACTTCTCCCTCGATCGTCCATCGTTTTCGAGGTGTTGACCCGCGTGTAAATAGTTCCAGGGGAATTCTCTCGCATGGGGAAAAGAATGAGAGCAGGACTAATAGGACACTGGCGTCTTGGGAGCGGGTGGAGCTCTCGTCAAACAGAGACTGAGAGGCAGCCTCAAGGGCAGAGTTTCTCCATTCTGTCAACTCCATCGAAAATGACTTATATGAGATTCAAAGCTGCGCTGAGGAATTGTCTCGGCATCTCATCTCATGAAGGAGAGGAGGGATTTATTCGACAGCTGTGTCGACGACGGAGAAGCGTTATACCGAGAGCCCACTCTAGTTTTGCAGGTGTTTTACTTTTTCCTACTGAAGGATCTTGTCTGGTATTTAACCAGACTTTGCCTTCAATGAGGCTATTGATAAGACCCCCTGATAGACTTGACAGGTCTGGACTCTGGATCGCGGTTTTGAAAGCCGAAGACCGGTGGTGTGTTGAAAGATACTATGCCAGCCTGGGGTTGTAGGTCGGGGAAAACGGCGAATGCTCCGTGGTAGACGATAAACGTCATTTAGGGTATTGCGGGGTATCCAGATTGAGATGCAGATGCTACCGGCATTGTGCGTGGAGTTGTGGAAGTAATCCGAAGGAACACGATAAGCCAGAGATAGATTGGCATTTCAAGTTGATGGCTTATATCTCTGCCCCTGACGGTTTGAGATAACCACCGGGGTAGCCAGCCGTTGGAGGATCTAATTATGGGAGAAACCTGTCACGGATAGAAGCAGATTATCCTCAGACCCTTCTTGCAGAAACGAGTGTCTAATACACTCTGGACCGTGCGTGTCATCACGGCATAGAACTCAGGATATGACCAATTAACATTATGAAAGGTTGGCCAATAGTATCGGCGACTCGACCATCAACTAAGCAACAGAAGCTCATGTACATCAACTGACTGTTCAAGTATAGTCCCAAATAGCTTGAACTGGATATAATATTCGTTGGCTACTATACCTTGGGCTTGACGACTGAGACAAGTATAGGTGCCTGCTCAAAGGAAGAGATTACCGCAATGGATAGGTAGGTAGCTACCTATTGTCATGCTGTAAGTCAAAGTATTGACTGTTGCGTACAACACCCGGGCCTTGAATGACCATTTCAATCTAATAAGAGCAAATAGCAAGTTTCACAGACGCCATCCATTAAAATAGCCAAAGCAGTTCGTTGACTCTCACAAAAGAAGACCTACGAAGGCCAAAATAAAGTTGTCGTCAAAGTCGAGGTGATCGCGGCAGACACCTAAAACTACCCGGAACAACGATTCGCCGACCAAAAGTTCGCGTCGCCAGAACACCTCGAAATTTCCAAAGTCGCCTGCCTTTTACTAGCAGCTCCATCAGCCTTTTCCTCTTTCTCAGCGCGTCCTCCTCACAATGGCAGCCGTAACTACCAACGGCGATGCCGCCGCAAATGTCCTCGACGATATTAAACCTCCCGCTGGAGTAGTCCTTCCTCCCCGCGAGATTCGAAATGTTCTTGAAAAGACAGCTGGTTACGTAGCGCGAAACGGCGCCGTCTTCGAAGATCGCATTCGCGAAAAGGAGCGATCAAACCCGAAATTCAGCTTTCTCAATCCTTCCGATGCCTACCATCCCTTCTACCAATGGCGACTAGATGAGGTCAGGAGTGGACGTGGTACAGCGATCGCTGCTGGTCGCGTGGGCGAACCTGCGGCCGAGGCTCCAAAGCCTCAGGGACCCCCGAGGCCTGCCGATTACCTGTTCTCCGCGCGAACGCCTCGCATCAACCGAAAGGATCTGGATGTTATTCAATTATCGGCTCTCTTTGTAGCAAAGAATGGACGACAGTTTATGACACAATTGGCTCAGCGCGAAGCTGGTAACCCACAATTCGGCTTCCTCATCCCTAATCACACTCTCCACAACTTCTTCCAGCATATCATCGACCAATACACAACGTTATTACGTGCAAGCGGTCTCGGTGGAGAAGGTGGCAAGCTTCAAGAAGAGCGCATAAAGGAGCTCGAAGCCAACATAAACGATAAGTTCCTCGTGCTGAACCGCGCCAAGCAACGAGCCGAATATGCCAAATACGTCGAATCGGAAAAACAGAAGAAGGAGGAGGAAGAGGTCAAGGCCAAGGAAGAGTTTGCGATGATCGACTGGGGCGACTTCGTTGTTGTCGAGACAATCACTTTCAACGAGGCTGATGAGCACGCCAACCTCCCACCTCCCACCAACCTGTCCGATCTTCAGTACGCTTCGCTCGAAGACCGCAACAATGCTTCTATCAGCGCCAGCCTTAGAATTGAGGAAGCCATGCCTGACGAAGACACGTCGTACAACGCATACCCCAATCAACCCGCCCCCTATCCCATGGCTCCTCAACAGCCAGCCTACCAACCCGCTCAAATGCCCCCTCCTGTCCAGCCATACTCCCCTGTTCCACAAGCGCAACCGCAGCAACCGCAGCGATCAGCCCAAGAGGAAGAAGAGGAGCGCCGTATCCAGGAACGCGCAGAGCAGCAAGCACGAAAGCAACAGGCTACTGCTGAAGCACGTGGTGGTGCTCCTCCGATGAAGATCAAGGAGAACTACGTGCCTCGTGCCGCACAGAAGGCTGCCAACAGACAGGGCGCGCAGACAGCGCTGTGCCCCAACTGTAAGCAGCAGATTCCCATGAATGAGCTCGAGGCTCACATGCGAAGTAAGTGCTCCATCCCAACATTCTATTCAGTCATAATGCTAACCTGTTTTCAGTTGAACTTCTCGATCCTCGCTGGAAGGAACAGAAGGCCAAGGCGGACACACGCTATGCATCCTCCAATACGTTACATGTCGATGTTGCCAACAACCTCAAGCGACTTGCCAGCCAACGCAGCGACGTTTTCGATCCTGTCACTGGACAGGCCATTTCTGAGGATGAGCTTGCGCGCAGAAAGAAGGCTGCCATTCATAGCTACGATGGTGCCATGGATGCCAAGAGCCAAGCACAGCTGGGTCATATGCAGAACGTGAACGTCGAAGATCAAATCCGCGCTATTCACCAAAAGTTCGCTGACAAGAAGTGAGGAACTCGGTTGATGGGCAGATTATACCCGATCGGAGACGACGACGAAGAAGAAGAGAAACAGACCATCCTCTCAAGGGAGCATGCTGTTCTCGTGTACACGGATCATGTGTAAAACTACATGTCGCGGTAGGCGTTGTAGGTTGAGGCCCCAAGGTGAGGCACATCTGGCGTATGGCGTTTCGTTAATCATATGGGCTTATACTTGTTTGATGCAGCTCAGTTCTTGCACGAGAGATTTTGGGATGCCAAATCGAGAATGTCTGGGGTAGTAGATTGGCCGAGACTTGGGTGAATGGGCTGCCAGGGGATAAACGGAAACGTACATCTTCAACTACGGCCGTACCATGTTATGTTGCGTTTTGTCATGTCATGTCGCAAGACAGACAGACAGACAGACAAACCATTGACCATGCTCATGATGGGCAAATGCTTGAATCAGAAGTAAAGATGTCCCGTGTCAACGCAGCTTGGATCGATACTATATAATGAAGCATTCTAGACTGTTGCTCTGACGCTCTTAAGGAGCACCTCGGAGCCCTATCGCTTGAATATAAAAACAATATGATCAATTATTCCGCGTCATCCACCCAATACTCACAGGTCTCAGAAATACATTAGCCACGATGTTTAGGTCTCATGCTTATTTATTGGTTGGATATCTCCGTCTTCGTTCTGACTTGTACGATGCAGTGTCGTAACGCTCATGGTTACACAAACCACTCATCAATCAACAAAACGGAGCCCGAGTGACCCGAAACAGGCTTTGTTACCCGTCAACGTACATATTCTTGAACGGCGGTCATATCACTGACCAAGGAAACGACAAAACAAAAAGGTACTTGAGATTATCCTGGTCCTCCACCAATTGCTCAAGTACCCCGCCCTATCCTGTCCTGGGCGGGCCTGGTCGGGCCTGGTTCCCCCACCTCCACTTTCTTTCCACTCTCTTCTACTTCTACCTCCGACCTCATTCATCTCATGCGACAGACAGCCTGAACTGGAGTGAACATCATTCTCTCCACTGCATACGACATCACCACCAGCCTCAACCGCTACCTTGCGCCGATAGTCGACTGCGACCTACACCTCTAGCTCTTAATACTTATACTTCAACGACTAAACTCCCTACGACATCACTAAACATGGCGTCCGATCAGGACAACTCCGGCCTCGATGCGCCCGGCTCACAATTTCACCGACCAATCTTGCAATCTATGCCCGATACGCGACAGCAGAGCTTTGACGAGATCTACGGTCCTCCCGAGAACTTTTTAGAGATTGAGGTGCGCTCTCTTGTCCCTCATGCGCCATATCCGCGACCATACATCGTCAGACGGACAAGCAAAACACACAAGAAATGCTAAAAAGCGCCATATATAGGTCCGCAATCCAAGAACACACGGTATGGGCCGTCACATGTATACAGACTACGAAATCCTCTGCCGCACAAACATCCCCGCCTTCAAACTCCGTCAGAGCAGCGTCCGTCGTCGATATTCCGACTTCGAGTACTTCCGCGACATTCTCGAGCGCGAGAGCGCCCGCGTTACGATCCCTCCTCTGCCCGGAAAGGTCTTCACCAACCGCTTCAGCGACGATGTTATCGAAGGTCGTCGCGCAGGCCTCGAGAAGTTCCTCAAGATCGTCGTCGGCCATCCCCTGTTGCAGACGGGGAGCAAGGTCCTGGCTGCCTTTGTCCAGGGTGAGTTTGCTGCCATGTCTATCTTTGCCATCATGATGTCTAGGTTGACACAGAATCACAGACCCTAACTGGGATCGCAACGCTTGGTGACGCCTCCGTCTGATCTGGCCCTTCAAAGCCATATCTTCTTCTCGCTCTCGCTCTCCATCTCCAACTTCAGCTCCCCGCCAACCTCGAAAGCTCCGTAAGCGGAATCCAGCCCTCAGCCAGCGAGACGCCCTTCTCGACAACATGCCCTCCCCGTGACTACTTGAGCAAAGTCAAGGAAACGAAATGAAAAGGAAACAAAACGATAGGAGAGGGTGGAATGGGCGTTCCTCTTCACGTACATACTATTCTCTTTTTGTTCATGTGGGAAAAGCACACTCTGGTCCAGTCATTATGTTTTCAGTCCAAAGTTGTTCTTTCGACTTGCATCCCATCCTACATTCGAAGCTTTGGGACTCCCTTCTTTAGCTTGGGGCGTTGATGGGCTGATGGGCTATCTTGTATCCATATCATCTACTCTGAATAACAAGAGTGATCCGACTCATGAAACCCAGACCATGAAGTTAACGAGCATTGATCAAAACACAGTATCAAAGTCAGAAAAGTAGGTTAATGTTCATTCATATTGGCTTCTAATCATCATCCCACGGTGAGAGTTCTCTTCTCCAGAGTGGGCATAAGTTTGTGGCGATACCGCCAAAGCGTGATGTTGTCCAAAGAAAATAGAGACGCCTCTCCTATTATACATAATTTCGTACATGGCCTTTGTGTGAACATGAACATGAGCATAAGCATAAGCGTAGGTGTTTACATTTCCCCTTCTACTGATCCATCCACTCGCCAAACGCCGATAAATAGATATGCCTTAGCCACGCCATCTCCCCCTTTGTTAGTTTCTCGTAATTCTTCATGTCCCAGCTTCGTTTAAAGACCTTGGGTGTTGTACATTGATACAAGAGCGAGTAGTGTTTGTGAAGCTTTCAAAGCTTCATTGCGACTCGTGTCGGATAGTGTTACAGGACATCGATGAGCGGATCGTTTCTAGGTTATGACCCTAGTGTTTGATCGCTTTGTGTCGAATCAGTGCGTTGCTCGTTCGTGGAATGGCTTACGCAGGTGTATGGAACAGTCGAAGGATGCCCTCATACATGGCAAACATGATGGCGGCGCTAGGTACTGTTCGCATCAAGTGAGGTGTCAGACCCCCGTATAGACCCATGACGCCCTCTTCGAGCCAGACAAGCTTGAAGCATTGAACAAGGCCAGTGTATTTCGGTAGTCCATTCTCCATAGGCGCTTGTCGAAGTCGTGTTCGCGCAACCTATTTCATACTAGTTAGTCTCCTGTAAAGGTAAATATTCCAATGTCTCAAACCAATGACATACCTCGTGGGGATAGGCGATAACAGCGGCGACCAGCTTAGCGCTTCCCGCAGCGAAACCCTTTCCAGTCCAATCGACAGTCTTATCCCACCAGGTCAGTTCACGACCACTGCGAACGATCGTGTTGTGCCTGCGAGCTAGAGATGCCTTCATTTGCTCATAGAGCATCCATTGCATCGTTGACTCTACCACGCCGAGGTAACTAGCACTCATGCCACGGTAGAGACTTCGAATACCTTCGTCCCGAATGATTTGACGTATACAGTCGTAGCTGTTGCGATATTTGCGCATTTGTGCGCCCCCAGCTGCAACATTCTTGTCCAGCTGTAGCCGCGTCTTGATCATCCAGATAGGGTTTGTAGCCGTTGAGGTAATGACGCCGGCTGCTACACCAGCCGATAGGTGGACCCAAGGCGCTTCTACACCATTGTTGAAATGCTCAGATATCAAGCGTTTTCCATTGCCGTAGACATAGAAGTTGATGGATCGAGCTGGTACAACTCCAACTGAGGTAGGGCCAAGACCCTTGAAGAGTGCTCGCCAACCCTCATTCCTGTATACTGAGCCGAGAATCTGGAGCGTATCGTTCAGATGATATAGAGCGGCCCGGGCAGGGTTTAGTCGGCCAATGACTTGGGCTTGAGCTTCGCGTTGAGCTCGGATTTGGGCCTGGTAGAAATCGGATTGCAGTCGGGTCTTTAACACATCGAGGGGGGCTGTAACTGCAGCGGCAGTCATACCTCCAACACTATGAACACAATCAAGTCAGTCTCGTAGGTCCATATAAATTAGTCTTACGATAAGTTGTCGCAAGCTAGTCGGGGACCATATGAAGGTTTACATACCCACCAGCAAACATGTGAACCCATGATTTAGCAAAGGGCAAGGCTTTAACATTACCCTGGATAGGGGTGTCATCAGGAATTACATCACCAGTCTCCCGTGACTGGATGAGTGCCGAGTGATCGATTGGTGAATGGGAATGATGGAACGGTTTCTCGTCGCGGCTCGACATGATGTGCGACGTAGGCTGATGGTGTGACATTGTGAGGTGCAGTTCTCAGTTGTGGAATAAGAAAAGACTCTTAATCTTCGTCAATGTTGGCTGTTCTGTTGCCTTCACCCGTTCCTTCAGTCGATTCGTCGTTAAGTTTCGATTTTGCGCGGCACCGTCGGTGGACAAGAACGGCTTATAGCGAAGCCTGTCGATATCGTATAATTAAGAAAGCAGGTATAGTACGATCATCGGTGAGCGATAAGACAAGGGCCCAAGTCGCCAAGTATTTGTTGAAGAAGAGGAATCGCCTCTGGTAATTGGGAAAAAGATGGAGAATCTTTTTCATGAATCAGCGAAGCATTAGCAGCAGTGGCACCTCATTAGCGGTAGAAGAGGTCATTAGTGCCTTATCTAATCGCCTCCTGCCAAAACTTTTTTTCTCCGGCTGCCACTGGATGAGATGCGTCTCGACAGGATCCGCAAAGGAAGTGACGCTGGCGGGTCTTCACGGTACGTATTCTTTGGAACTTAAGTGCCTTATATGTGGGTCAGAGGCTACTACACGTACTGTACAGGTAAAGCCGATTCAAGCCAAGATAAAAATGACGAAACACAAATAATGGCAGTTCTTTAAATGTGACAAGATGCCTCAAGGAGATTTTAAGTGTCTTTATATTCATCATATTCATAAAACGTTGACTTCTTCTCGCACACTCTCGTCCTCGTCAAGCCATCTCTATGTGTTGACTCTGACAGGTTGGTACTTTCATGTGTAAAATGCCAGCGGGGCTATTCTGACTGATGCAGTATCAGCTGGCTGAAGGATTCAACGAACCATCACTACCCCTATACGTACTGTTCGAAGGTGTTGCCAGCGAACTCGCCAACCCCGTGGCGTTTGGTCCAGGTGCTAATGTTTCGACCGAATGGCTGCTGTGATCCGACCTTGCTGACTGACCCATTCCAAAAGGGAGCCGATGTCGTTCTGCACTCAGATCGAATCGGTGCATCGACGCAGTCGACGGCTCCATTGTACTAGGAAGATGCCCGTTGTCCCGACTAGGAGGCCTCGAACCCTCATCCGTACCGTATGTTCCCGGTGTTCTATCCCCAGACGTTCTGCCTGCTTCTTGTCTCTCCCCAAGTCGACTTGAATGTCCGTCTTTGGGGTCTAATGTGTCAAGAACTCGTCCGCTATCTGAGTGCCCATCAACATCCATTTCATCCCTGAGACCCATGTCTCGCTTGAGTTGTCGGAACTCATCATCTGTAACTGTTTTCCAACTACATTTTGCATGCTTTTTGGTACACCCTGAGCATGCTGTCAAATGTTTAACGCATTCAACCCTTAGTCGCCGACAGCGATCGCACGGTGGGCTGATCACATCCCCCTTACCCAGCTGGTCAGTCCTTTGTGTAATAAGAGACCGGAAAGCTGCCTCGCGGCTGTCCATCACAGGCTGCACTGTTGTCTCTGCTGCATGGCCACTGTATCTCGGACCGTGCGCTTGCGAGTGGGTTACGCTGTGCGAAGGGGACGGTTGACTTAAAGTGGTTATAGGAATTCCTGTAACTGAAGTTGACCGAGATGGCGGTGGTGAAGCTGAAGCTGCGAGAAACTGCTGCAGCAAATCTGCGTGTAAGTCATAGCCGGCGCTGAAGTTAGCCGTTCGCTGCGAAATGCCACTACCGGCGCTGTTAGTGGGCTGATATCGTGACGGCGGTGTGTCCTGTGTGCTCCTGCGTCGACGAATATCCTGCTTCCTCTGCCCTAGCCGATGGTTAAGTATACGAGCTCTTGCCGCCACTTCGTCAGCCTTCTTGTACAGAATTGAGGTTCTTTGTTCGAGAATATCCAATGTCGCCAGTTCTGCCGTCTCATCCTCTTCGAGGGGGTGGTCCAGGGGAAACCGGTCCAAAGCGCCAGACCATACCAAACGCCAATCGTCCTCCATAATCTCCACCTGTGAGCCTTTGAGAACAAATTGGCAGCATCGGGTGCCATCCGCCTTTTGAACGAGGGTGAAATCCTTTGGGTTTGATCTCGCAAAACTGACAACATCCAGCCAACCTATAGGGTTGGAGAAGGGCTGCAGTGGTGTCGTCTTGATTGGTCCATCGAAAAACTTCTCAATACCTCTCAAAAGTCTTGGACCGGTAAGTTTAGCCCCAAGACTTGCTGCAAGACTCTCATGCCTATCCAACACGTCTGATTTACGTCAGTAAATGGTATCCCATTAATAGCTCCAACGATTCTCTTGGCATCCTTACTCTCATATTCGCCAATCAGACCGATGATGTCGGCAAATGTGTCCGCATCACCCTGTACGAGGCTCAAATGCGATGCATTTGATCTCGGGAGATAGTGGATATAACCGGGAACGCCTTTGAGGTCGGGTTAGCATATCCTCCAAGCGAACAAGCTGTGCCATCGCACCAAGACAGAAAAGCCGGATACAAAAGCAACAAGCATGTGCGTCCCTGGAGGAGTCGAGCTGAACGCTACTTCCGGCGAGGAGTCAAACCAAGAGCATCGGCTTTTCAAGTGCCGCCTCGTTGCGCGTGCCATCAGGCGACGACATGCATTGAAGAATGTAGGAGACACGAACACACATGCAAGTGTGCAACGACGACGAGGTCAAGGCAAACAAGACAGTCTCGTATGTGGTGCTACAAACGAAACGTCTCAGGATTTGAGGCGACACAATATGGTGCAGCCTTTGATGGCTGTTGTCATACTAGACATACCTTGCTGAAGAGATGGAGGTGCGTGCTGAGCGCGACCTTGACCACCGGCATCATCGACATCACGCTTTCGTTTTGCAGGCTCCGAGTCGGAAGTTTGGCCCATGATGGGTGATTGATGGGTGTAAATGTGGTGTGTTGACCAAAGGGTCGAGATTGATAGACGAGCCTGGATGGCTTGTGACAGAATGAGGCGCTTACGCTTGACCAACAAACGTCCTAGCCGAGATTGAACCCTGAAATGCCCTGTGAAGCGGACAGATCTGCCTGAATTGCGCTGAAAAGTGGACAGAATAGGGAGATAGATATCAAAGCTTCTCTGAGAGGCTTGGCCGTAGGATGAATTAGAGTTAGGTGAGTAGCAACGTCGCGAAGGAGTTGCGACGGGGATTCCAGTTGATCGATTGAGTGATAGGAGAGAAGACGAGGGAAGAGCAATATTCTCGATTTGTAGAGAGAGAGAGAGAGAGAGAGAGAGAGAGAGAGAGAGAGAGAGAGGATGGGACAAAGACAGCGGTTATTGGATATTCATGGCGACGGAATGAAGCCGGAATAAGTTGACAATGGATTGAGAGGAGATGCCGATTTTGTAGTATTAGAGAGTCCGTCCCCCCAAGATAGATAGATACCTTAGATATGCAGGTAAATGGGCGCCAAGAGGAGAACAATTGTTGATTCTCTGTGGAGCAGGCTCAATTTTATTCCAACACAGAAAATCCCTCGCGCAAATAACGCAGCGAACTACGGCGGGTAACGTTGGCGTCCAAGTGGGTGAAGAGGAGTCTTCAAGAGTAAGAAAAAGGAGATTGAAAAGGGTTCAAATATTGGACGGGATGGGGAGAAGCATAAGGAAATACGGAAAAGAGACGGGAGCCTTGGTAGCAGGAAGAAAGTGCCGGGGAATCGGGACCATGTGGGGAAGAGTGCAGCGGAACGAGGTGCGAGGCCGATGGAAAGTGACAACGGTCGAGTTGGTTTAATTGGAATGGATATGATACGTCAACACCAAAATCTCCGACTTATAGTGCCTAAAAGGACGACGATAGTCGATGGTTCCTTTGAGGAAGGAAGACTATCTTTCGAAATCAGATGAAAGAAGTAATGAGGTAGGCCAAGAGGATTTAAGGACAAAGAGCGGTAGCAGCAGCAACCAATTCGAAACTGACAGACGAGACAAATGCCCTGGTGATGCCCTATACCTGGGTACTTTACTGCAACCAGCCCGCCAGCCGCCCAGACATAGGTACCTACAGCTTAACGGCGGGCCAGCAGCGGGCTCAAGACCCAGTGCCACTGGTAGCTTAATTTCCTTTTTCGGACAAGTCATGATGTAAGGTGTATCAAGAGGCCTCCTCTGAGCAGTCAAGTACATGTGAAAAAAACAGCTCATAGACCCAGAATGAGAGTCGTGTATCACTCCTGTCAATCTGTACATAGGCGCCTTAATCCATGTCGCAGCGCGGGATCTTTGTATGAGGCTGTGCTGCTGCAAATCCCCAAGGTACGTAGACCTCGGGGTGCAAGAAGACTTCTGACGTTAAATTGAGGTGCCAAAATTACTTAGTCTAAGATTTACCAAAGCTATACTAAATCTATACTAAATTTATCTAAGCTGATCTGAAGACTTTTGACACCCTATATCTAGGTCTGGTGTTTTCTTGCTCCCCGAGGCACGGATGGAGGGGTGGTAAACAGGAAAAGAGAAAAGCTCATGCAGCATGGATCTAGTTTCAAAGTCAGATGAGTGAGGCAATATCACTGGCGCTGGCTGCATCATCCCGCTCGTCGATCTGCTACTGCAATTTGCGACGCTGGTCTCCGAGGCACGCGAGCGATATATTTTGTCTTGCACTTGCACTTGCATCTATATTATAGGTCCAATAGTAGTATCACGCTCGGTATTGCGGCACTGAAAGTCGGTAAGTGACCGTCACTAATCGACAAAGCTCTACTGAATTTTGCTAGACTACCTTAGTTTCTGATGATCAGTATCTTTCCTGCAGTTAGCAGACCAGACCAGATGATTACGCGGGGTGAGTTATGATTATCGTATTCACATGAAGAAGTGAGTGTTGCTGTATCTAATTCCTGCCACTCATTGGTCGAATCGTATGTATCAAGCTCTCTTCTTGCAATCCACTCTCACACCAAATGCACAAGCAGCCCAAATAATCCACACCCCTAACCCTCTATAATCGTATTAGCACCACTCACCCCACCAGAGCCATCACAAGTTCCAACTTCAACCCAAACCACAAGCTCATCACCAATATCACACCCCATCTCCTCGATCTAGCCCCCCCCAAGATACGCCATGTCCGATAGACCCTCACACCGAGGCGGCCGAGGCGGCCAAGGATCGCATTCACGAGGTGGGCGTGGAGGCGGTCGCGGAGGCGGCGGCGCGGGAGGCGCTCAGCAGGAGCGCGAGAGACCCAAGAAGGAGAACATTCTTAACTTGGGCAAGTATATGGACAAGCAGATCACCGTCAAGTTTAATGGCGGTCGCGAGGGTATGTTTATTCGAGTTGCGCGCCAGGAGATCCGGGCCACTAACCTCTGATTCAGTCAAGGGCACATTGAAGGGCTATGATGCTCTTATGAACCTGGTACTGGACGATGTACACGAGGTTGTTCGAGGTATGACGCGCGACTCCTACGAACCACTTCCTGATCCATATTCTATTCGTTCCTGTCTAGGTACTCGCAGCTAACACAATGACTGCAGACGACGAAGGCAACGACTCCACTCGATCCCTTGGCCTCGTAGTTGTTCGAGGTACTCTCCTTGTTCTCGTCAGCCCAGTCGACGGCAGCGAAGAGATTGCCAACCCGTTTGTGCAAGCCGAGGATGATTGAGGGGTCAACTGTTATCAAGCTGGAAACGAATATTATGACAAAGGCAAACAACAAAACGTCCCACCTGGTGCTGGTACAATATATACGGCCGTGTCGAGTCTGGTCTAAATTCAAGAAACCGAGCGACACAATTATATCGCCAGCTGCTAGCATGGTATTTTGGATTATGCATGGGCATCAAAAGCAGCATCTGACGAAAACCCCTGGCTCTAACCGTGAAATCATCACGTTAGCCGCCACTTCATAGAATATTGTAATGAATGAAGGCAATATATCATATTGAAAAGGCAAATACGCTACATCTGTCTCGCTATCTCGTGTCTCTCTGCTTCAGAACCACCACTAACCTCTGCCATATACACACACAGCCTGAACATCATCAGCCATGGCAGACCATCATGAATCTGTAGATTGCCTCCAATGTCCCAACCCCACCGCATCATATGACACGAGGCCAGAAACCTTCTGGCGATTTTGCCAGTTCTGAGTGCCTGACTAATCCAAGGCGATGCCCTTATAAGTACCCAAGGTGTCGTGATTGTATGAGACACTGTTCTCAAAAATTGGTGCTCTTTGTTTTCTGTCCTTGTTTCTTCTTGATAGCCGGAGCGTCCTTTTCGTTCTGAGCACTCAATCCTTCCTGTAAGTCGGCGTTTGATCCATCCTCAGGCGATGACGGAGGCTTGCTTGGGCCTGCCTGTGCGTTGTACATTAGTCTCCTCTCGAAGCTTCGGCATAACTCGCTGGGAACCTCTAGAGACGAGTCTGATTCGCTTTGAGACCTTGTTTCCTCCTGATGTGTTTGTTTCCGTGGAAAATATTCTGTTGCCCCGTAGGACTTTGGCCTCGTGGGAATAGAAGTTGCACGAGACTGGCTAGGACCAATACCCACCAATTTACGATCAAATCTAGCCCCCCACCCTCGGTCTGACCTTTTCTAATGTCCTCGTGGGTATTGAGGCCTTGTACCGCGATTCTCTGAACCTTGCCACGATCCAGGTTGTTGTTCCTGCTGGGACTAGAAGCTTCGACCTGATTTGCTCGCCTTAACAAGTTCTCCGAAGGAATTCGCCAGCATCTTTTTAAGCTCCTTGTAGCTGACGATGAAGCTGGTCTGTTCGTCTCGACTGGTGAGGCAAATCCTCTCCTCCGTCCCAACATCTAGTTTGCTCATACAACGAAGCATGTGTCCCATGTCCAGAACTGGATTACCGTTGCCATCCACTTGATGAAAAACATAATCTCTGAAGAGTTTGAGCATATACCGCTCACCATTTTCGGACCAATTCTGATCCCCATTGAAGTCATATCGCTCGTTGATGGTTGCGAGTTTCATCAGCAGTCTGGCTGCCCTACCGTTCTCCACCTCCCGCATGACGTCGGCGCGGGCCTTGTCATTGGCTTGAAGAATTTGGTCAAACGTGGATGTAATACGGCCAGCAATTCCGCGTACGAACTCGTCTATACCTTTTTGGGCGGGTGGTTGCTGAGGGGTGAGGAGCCACAGGACAGTATCCCTCAGTTCGACGGAATACACCCTCGACAATTGTTCCAAAGATACGTTGAAATTAGTGAGATGGACTGGCAGAGTGTTAGTCGTCAGACAGAGCAATAGCCGGCCGAATTGAATAAAGTCTTCTTGCTGAAGCTCTTGAATGGATCGATGAGCATCATATTGAACGACGTCCAATATAGAGCATGCGCTGAGACGGATGCGGCCCTTATCTGTAAGAATAATCTTGCTAGGGTCGACGCATCGTGCTGCCAAATTGACCGAATGGATAGCTTGGAGCGCATTGGCGATCTGCGAGATGTAACCCCACAGGACGTTCTCAGTAATGGGTGTTTTAGCTTGGAAGCGTGTACCATGGGTACTGCTTGGGGTCAAGTGAGCCTCAACCAGTGTTTTGGAGAGGGGGAAATAGTTTTGTACAAAGATGAGTGAGCTGTCCCCGAAAGCGCGGGTCGTAAACGCATCGACGATAGAAACCACGCTGCCATTGTTAATGCGCCGCCACTCTTTGACAAGCCTGATGGCATTCTCGTTGGTGAGTCTGTAGCCTTCTAGTCGCCTGAGACAATAAGTGTGACCCGACTTGGTTTGTGTAGCTTTATAGACCCAGCTCGGATAGCCGAAGATATTAGCATTTTTCCGATGGGTTGTATCCAAGGGTACCAAGTTGTGGTAATTGTCGAGTTGCGGTAACTGCGAGTTGGGGAGAACTTGGCCAGTCGCTTCAAGCTTAT